TAGATTAGTCGAGAATGTTTAAACTTGTTTCATTTTAACATTATCGGGGTTGCAACTTGCAACCATGCTCCAAAAACAACATTAGTATTACCTTAACAACAATGGGAAATTGTAATAAATACGAATGAAAGGCACATTAGATATATTTTTAAATATGTTATTTTCTCATACATAAAAAATATAAAATATTTACTAACTAGTTAATCGTAGTTGATAACGTTTAAGCCAGATTGTTTTGTAAGCCAATTGAATAATAAAAGATAATAAAACTTCAACAATACTTAAACCTATTTAAACAAACTCAATCTTATGTAATCTTAATACAGTTTTTAATGAGGTTAATTATTGATAAAGGTCCAACACTAATAAAATATAATAAAATTGTAATTTATAAAACATAATTATTTGCAGCTAATTTTTATAAATAATTTTAGTTTAATAAACTTGTCCAATCTGTAATGATCTAGAGAAAATAGTTAGCCCACACGTCATCGCAAGTTTTGTGAAACGGGTCCTTTAGTACAAGCCGTAAGTCCGTTGGGTCTAAACCGTGTACTTTAGGGGCACCGCTCGGGTCATCGTTTAGCAATTGTGGCCAATCAGCGTCCATATGACTAACATAATTATTGTTACATATTTATTAAATATTGTGTTTAAACTAATTAAATTGTCATATATAAATAATTTCAATATTACAATTATTTAATTAAACTTAAGTTATCTGGTTTATTTATAGTTTTTAAAATTGTTATTTACCCGTCTTTAGCAAATTTAGTCCACATTTTTACAACAAAATTGGCGTAAAATATGTCTTCGGGTATATAATCGTCGGGTTTAAGTAGTGGCAGACCGAATACAAATGGTATATCCATGCCGTGACAAATGCCCATGGTCATTACATCGCAACCTAACTCCGGCGCGAAGGTATTACTCGCGTACAACAACTCGTAAAAGTAAACCCTTTGCGACTCTTTGACAGTTTGTGCGAACTGTTTGGCGAACAGATATGTCGGACATATGAGTATTAGGTATGTGTTTTTATATTTATATTGTGATATCCGATGGATTCAAGTGATTTCACCCCAGTGTTAAAGTCAGTGAGTGTCATATGCGTCGGGTCTTTAATTACTCGGCTAACAAGCAGTGAGCCCTCGGTTTTTGTGATGCCAGCGATTAAGTCAATATCTGAATATTTTATATAAGGTAAAAATAAAACATTCTTTTATAGATAAGCTTAAATATTAATTATAATAGTTTGATAAACGAATTATTTATGCACTAATTAATAATTGGTAATTATATATGCTAAATTTGCTTATTAATAAACAATAAATATAATAACATTAGACTTGTAAAATATAATTATTCATTTTACAATTGAATTTATACACTTGTTTAATGTAAAGATAGAGCATGAATTGACATTAGAAAATGTAAAACTACTTGTATTAAACTTTTTCTCTTTAAAAGCTTGTTGCGTACGAATGGGCAAAAACTCTGTGCCAAACACCGGGTAAGTGGCGACTGGATTCTTAGTGATGGGATATTTGAGTAAATCTTTGGCGTCCGCTCTTCGCAGACATTGTATCCAATCCTCGGTTTCATTGCATTTCAATTGTTTCGCTATTTCTTTGCCCTGAGATAAAGCCTCCGTTTTGTTATTTACATCCATTTCTTTGTTATACATATGGGCACCGCTTTGCATAATAGCCCTCTTGAATAGGCCTTTGGATAGCGGGGAGAGTATGTGTGCGGACACCGACCAACTCCCGGCGCTCTCACCAAAAATAATGATTTGATCCCTATCTCCGCCAAATGAATGGATGTTTTCCCTAACCTATTAGTTTGCCAATAATTTATATATTATGTCATCAATAAATATGATTTATAATTGAAATATATTATCAATTGATACCCATTTCAGACCCAATAACTGGTCATAAAAGCCGACATTTCCGGGCGCGTCCTCCCGATCCCCGTATAGGAACCCAAACGGTCCTAACCTATAGTTGACGGACACAACCACCACATCATTGGTGGCTAAAACGCTTCCGTTATACCACTCTTGAAAAATTGATCCCGCATTAAGTCCCCCTCCGTGTATCCAAAACATCACTGGCTTTAATGCTGTGGTATTTGTTGTCCATATGTTAAGCACCAGACAGTCCTCACTGAGGGTTGAGTCCGGTATAGGCATAATACTGATCGCTTGCATACATGAGTTTTTAGCTTTTGTCGCATCAATTATATTCTTAAAATAAAATCATTAAATGTATAATTAACTTAGTAATGCTTATTTAATATATATAATTATTTGATAACTTAATATAATATTTTCGTGTCAATTATTATAATATACATGTAATTTTATAATTTAATTTCATATATTATACAATTTTTATTGTAAATGGTATAATAATAGAAAATTAGTTTTAAAAAACTATATAAGTTATTTAGATTGAAAATATATACATGTAGATGTACATGTAGAAAAATGTATACTTTATAAACACAAATTTTAGAATTTAGATGTACATTTAGATTTAAAAAAATAAAATACTTACGGGAAATGGTTTAGAAATGGGTTCGGGTTTTGCGAACCTATGTTTGCCGACCGGGGGTTCGGCGTATGGAATGCCCACAAACTGATCCACATTTGTGTCCAACACATGTAGTGTCCGACCCCTCACTACTCCTATACTNCGACCGGGGGTTCGGCGTATGGAATGCCCACAAACTGATCCACATTTGTGTCCAACACATGTAGTGTCCGACCCCTCACTACTCCTATACTCGTCGACACATCAATACAGTTCACAACATTTAATGTCAAATTTAAAACAATTATTGTTGCAATTTTGTATAAGCCATACATATTTAGCTATAGTTCAGAACAACAATAAAATTATAAATCAAGAACAATTAACATACTTTTAAATTTCAATTATTATTTGTACTTTATATACAATCGTTTATCTTCTAATTGTTTAAACATATTTCATTTTCACAAAATTTTACTTTAATAAACCCCAATTATCTTTATAAAAATTAACAAGGTTATTTGTAACATCAAGGAAAAATTTTTATGAATACAAATGTACTACAATTGGTACTTTTGATATAATTAAAAATATGCTATTTTCTCATATAATGATAATATAATGACAATATTAAATATTTGATATACCTAATCTATATAGGCAATCGTTATAATATTTCCTTAATAATAATTCAGATGATAGCATATTTTTCATTTAATTAAAACATTATACATGTATTGATCCGGTTTACAATTATAATGGATATTTTAAGGCTATCTCTTTGTTATACTTATACATGTATTTATATTAATTGCTTATAAATCCTATTCTTATTCAATACAATTATTATACGGCAAATACCTATTATATCTAATTACAGCTCAAATGCACGCAGACATATGGCTTATCGCTTTATGTTACTTGTACACTTAAATGCACCAAGATTATGGAACTTTAACAATAATTTAAAGTTATGTAATTCTAAAATAATTTAAAATGGAGTATATCAGTAATTATATTTTAGAATATAATATAACATAATTGTAATTTATAATCTCTAATTATTTAGAGATTATTTTTATAAATATATGGCTGATACAATTTTATTGGTAATATATAATATTAGATTGCATTCATATTCATTTTTATTATTATAATATTTTTATAATTTTAAATTTTTTTTATCATAAGTTACTATTTAGCATAATAAAATATTTTAGGTATAGTAGTTAGGTCATTTATTCGAATCTAGAAAAAGTAGTCGGCCCACACGCCATCGCATGTTTCATGAAACGGATCTTTTAGTACTAGCCGTAAGTCCGTGGGGTCGAGTCCGTGCACTTTAGGCGCACCGCTCGGGTCATCGTTTAGCAATTGCGGCCAATCAGCGTCCATATGACTAAAATGATTAGATTTATTGATTATTGTAATTAAATTAATTATTTCGTGTTATATTGTTATATAAAAACAATTTCATAATAATAATTATTTTATTTTAGTTATCTAATTTGTTTATAGTTATTTAAAACTACAATTTACCCGTCTTTAGCAAATTTAGTCCACATTTTCACAACAAAATTGGCGTAAAATATGTCTTCGGGTATATAATCGTCCGGTTTAAGTAATGGCAGACCGAATACAAATGGTATATCCATGCCATGACAAATGCCCATGGTCATTACATCGCAACCCAGCTGTCGGGCGTACCAATTACTTAAATACAACAACTCGTAAAAGTAAACCCTTTGCGACTCTTTGACAGTTTGTGTAAACCGTTTGGCAAAATGATATGTCGGACACCCGAGGACTAGATCACCAAACAGTTCAGTGAATGCTATCCGTAGGGCTACTGAGTCGCTAGTGTTGACACCTTTCAAGTAATGGTCCGTCACTTTAGATACATTTATGTTCCTATATCCTAATGAGTCTAATCCAATTAATCCGTTGTGAATGTCGGTAAGTGTCATATGAGCAGGGTCTTTAATTACGCTTTTAATAAATATTGAGCCTTCGGTTTTAGTTACGCCAGCGATTAAGTCAATATCTATAATATTTTAAATTGTATGAGCATTAAATAATATTTAAAAATAAAATACAACATTCTTATTATTAGCAAAAAAAATTTAATAGCTTTAAAATTAATGAATTGTAATCTTTCATGTTGTAAAATATGCACTTATCAATGCTAATTAAGATTTTAATATGTAAATTATAGTATAATTACTACATATTAATTGGTAATAAATAATTACCTGTATTAAACTTTTTCTCATTAAAAGCTTGTTGCGTACGAATGGGCAAAAACTCTGTGCCAAACACCGGATATGTTGCTAATGAGGGTTCATATTTGAGTATATCTTTGGGGTCCGCTCTTCGCAAACATTGAATCCAATCCTCGGTTTCATTGCATTTTAATCCTTTAGCCATTGCTTTGCCATTAGCTATGGCTTCAGTTTTGTTGACCACATCCCTGTCCTTGTTATACATATTTGTCCCGCTTTCCAGTATAGCTCTTTGAAACAAGCCTTTGGATAGCGGGGAGAGTATGTGTGCGGACACCGACCAACTCCCGGCGCTCTCACCAAAAATGGTGATCTGATCCCTATCTCCGCCAAATGAGTGAATGTTTTCTCTAACCTATTATTTATTCTATTATTAATAATATAAATGATGATTAAAACAAGCGATCAATTGATACCCATTTCAAGCCTAACAACTGGTCATAAAAGCCGACATTTCCGGGCGCGTCCTCCCGATCCCCGTATAGGAAACCAAACGGTCCTAACCTATAGTTGACGGACACAACCACCACATCATTGGTGGCCAGAGCTGTGCCGTTGTACCACTCTTGAAATATTGATCCTAAATTAAGTCCCCCTCCGTGTATCCAAAACATCACTGGCTTTAATGCTGTGGTATTTGTTGTCCATATGTTAAGCACCAGACAGTCTTCACTCCTACCAGAATCCGGCATAATAAAAAACGGACTGTTTGGTTGTATACACGAGTTTCCAACTTTTGTTGCATCGATTATACCCTAGAATAATATATTAACCAAATTAATTTAATTAATTAATTTATACTATTTTGTCCCTAATAATGTTTTTATATACAATAATTATTTTAAACATAACTAATTTAATAAATAATGTAATAATGCATGATGATAATACTTTTAGATAATTAAACATTAAGTATTAATTTCTTGGAAACAATAATTTTTACAATTAATACTTACGGGAAATGGTTTAGAAATGGGTTCGGGTTTTGCAAACCTATGTTTGCCGACCGGGGGTTCGGCGTATGGAATGCCCACAAACTGATCCACATTTGTGTCCAACACATGTAGTGTCCGACCCCTCACTACTCCTATACTCGTCGGAACATCAATACAGTTCACAGTATATAAAGTAACATACAAAATAATTATTGTGACAAAGTCAAACATTTTTAAAATAATTTTTGAATTTATTTTTTATGTTATATTACTTTATATCTATTACCAATAAATGAATTGACTGTATAATTAACAACAATGCACTTGTAATATTCGTTTAGAAAACGATAGATATTATATTCTTAAAGTTGTTTAATATGTTGTTTCTCATGGTTGATAAGATTCAACAAATAATATTTTGATTTGCTTGCTGTGTAAATAGATTATCACATAATATTAAAGTTTTAAATACACTTGTATGGTTGGTGATAAATTATCACTGATAATTTGAAATATACATCAAATATTTACGTATTTTCTAGCCTCAATATTTATTTTTACTTTTTTCAACGAGCACAAATATATTTTATTAATTTTGGTTTCTAAAATAACACAATTCCTAACAAACATGTTAATTATGTTTAATAAATAATATTTAATTTATTTAAGTGAATTATTTAGGTTTTATTTTTATAAATTTATAATTTATTTATATTGATTATTGTTATACTGATTAGCATTTATTTTAGAAATTTTTAACCATTTACCTAGTGGAACATTTTATTTATAATAATATTGTGTCAGCTTATACAGTTTATATAATAAATAGTAATTAAGTTTAAAATTACATTTAAGTTTTATTAAAGTTTTAATTGACAAATAAGGTAATTTTATGATTATTAAATGGTTAAATAATTAATCAGTTAATTATTATTCTATAGGAAATATTGAGCCCACAAGACATCACATGTTTGATGAAACGGATCCTTCAATACAAGCCGTAAGTCCTTTGGGTCCAAACCGTGGACTTTGGGCGCACCCATCGGCTCATCGTTTAACAGTTGCGGCCAATCAGAGATCATATTACTAGAAATTAAGCATTATTATTAAATTCATTTATCATATACTGGTATATATACAATAATAAAATTCAATATAAATAATTAAGTAATTTAAATAAAATTATTTCTAAATGAACAATGTAAGTTACCCTGTTTTGGCAAATGTAGTCCACATTTTCATCACAACATTACTGTAATTAATATCGTCGGGACTGTAATGGTGTGGATCAAGTAGTGGCAGACCAAACACAAATGGTATCTCCATTGAGTGGCAAACACCCATGGTCGCACTACAATTGTTTTGTTTAGCAAACCACTCGCTTTCATACAACAACTCGTAAAAGTAAACCCTTTGCGACTCTTTGACAGTTTGTGCGAACCGTTTGGCGAACAGATATGTCGGACATATCATGTCTACATCGCCTACGAGTGCGGCAAATGCTGTGCGCACTTCCGCCGGACAACTAGTGTTGACACCTTTTAGGTAATAATTTGTTACTTCTGTCACATTAATATTGTGAAGATTAAATGGATCCAGGGCCTTTAGTCCGGCTTGAAAGTCAGTGATTGTCATGTGCTCCGGGTCTTTAACAAACCTATCCATAGACGTTGAGCCCTCGTTTCGTGTAATACCAGCGATTAGATCAACATCTATTGTTTAACAAGTTTTAATTTTACTAACATTGTAACATTTGTTATTATAACATTCAATAGTATTTAATTTATTTAAATACCTGTATTAAGCCTTTTCTCATTAAAAGCCTGTTGTGTACGAATAGGCAGAAACTCTGTCCCAAACACCGGATTAATACCCGAATCCTGAAATTTGATTATATCCTTAACGTCCGCTCTTCGCATACATTGTATCCAATCCTCGGTTTCATTGCATTTCAATTGTTTCGCTATATTTTTACTTTTTAATATGGATTTTGTTTTATAAATTTTATCCCTTTCGATATTATATAAAACGGTTCCGCTTTGCATAATAGCCCTCTTGAATAGGCCTTTGGATAGCGGGGAGAGTATGTGTGCGGACACCGACCAACTCCCGGCACTCCAACCAAAAATGGTGATCTGATCCCTATCTCCGCCAAATGAGTGTATGTTTTCTCTAACCTATTATTATGTCATTAATACAAATATTATTTCATTAATGTTTAAAAATTATGCTTAAAATAAGCTATAAATTTATACCCATTTGAGAGCCAATAACTGGTCATAGAGTCCGACATTTCCGGGCGCGTCCTCCCGATCCCCGTATAGAAAGCCCAACTCTCCTAACCTATAGTTGACGGACACAACCACCACATCATTAGTAGCCAAAGCGCTCCCGTTATACCACGATTGATATATTGAACCCACAGCCAGTCCGCCGCCGTATATCCAAAACATCACTGGCTTTAATGCTGTGGTATTTGTTGTCCATATGTTAAGCACCAGACAGTCTTCACTCATACCTGTGCCCGGAATGAGATTTGGTTTGATAAAAAAAGCTGGCTGCATACATGAGTTCTGGGGTTTTGTCACGTCAATTATATCCTAGATATAATTATTTAAATATTAATTTTATTTAAATATTTGATAATAATATGGCAAAATAATTACGGGAAATGGTTTATTAATTGGATTAGGTTTTGCAAACCTAAGTTTGCCGACCGGGGGTTCGGCGTAAGGAATACCGAGAAATTGATCCACATTTGTGTCCAACACATGTAGTGTCCGACCCCTCACTACTCCTATACTGGTGTTCACATCAATACAGTGAACATTATTTAATGTCAAATACAAAATTATTATGTTGACAATGTAAAACATTTTAAAAACTGGTTATAAATTTTTGGTTATACTTATTTATTATTACTCATCACTACCAGAAATAAATGGGTTTAAATACTATTTACTTGAGTTAAACGTTTAAAATACGATTAATAAATTTATCTTATTTTACCTTATATTATCTTAACGTAATATGTTTTTTCTCATAATTGATACGTAGAGTGATCAACTTAAAAAAAGAATGACCTGCAGATTTTATATATTTTTTTCAAAAATACCGAAATATTACTGGACTTTTTGATAAACTTCCCTGTGCCCTCTACTGGACACTAATATTTTTAACAAAACAATATTTTAAACAATCCTTCATATTAATCCTGTCCAGTTAGACTTATCTGTAAAATTACAAGATACATTTAGTAAAACCCAAAATATAAACATATTTTAAATTTAATCTTGACAAAATAAATAAAATGTATCACTAAGTTTAAAAACTCTAATGTTATAATAACATAAAATTTATGTCAAGTTTTTATCATTATATCGCCTGGACTTTATATAGTACTTTACCCTCGTCTATGCACTGAATAAATTGTTCAAAACCTTGACGGTTGGTCAGTCTATTGCTACGATTAAACAAATAATATTTTTATTTGCCAGCTGTGCAAATAAATTACTGTATTATATTAATACTTTATATGAAAAGCATTATCTGTTTAAATAATTGTTATGTGCATAACTTATGCAGCATAAGTCATTCGTTGTATGAATAATTAAAATTTTATTTTTATTTTAAATTTTCACAAATATTATTTTATAGCCATTAATTTACGTGCATTCTATAATTAAATAAATATATTTTTATAGGAAATAGTCAGCCCATATGCCATCACAAGTTTCATGAAACGGATCTTTTAGTACTAGATCGACATCCGTTGGGTCTAAACCGTGGACTTTGGGCGCACCGCTCGGGTCATCGTTTAGCAATTGTGGCCAATCAGAGTCCATATGACTAAAATTATCATGTGAATTAAATAAAACAGTAATTAGTTATGCATATGTTTTTAAAATATTGTTATAAAATTGATAATTTTATTGTGTTATATTAATTTATCTATAATTAATTATTAATTAAAATTTACTATGTTACCCATCGGTTGCGAATTTAGTCCACATTTTTACAACTAAATTAGAGTAAAATATATCTTCAGGCATATAATCGTCTGGATTTAGTAGTGGCAGACCAAATACAAATGGTATATCCATGCCGTGACAAACGCCCATGGTCAGTACATCACACCCACCTTGTTTAGCGAACCACTTACTAGTGTATAAAAGTTCATAAAAGTAAACCCTTTGATACTCTTTGACAGTTTGTGTGAACCGTTTAGCGAACAGATATGTCGGACAACCGAGTGTTATGTCGCCTATTAATGAACCTAAAGCCGTCCGCATAGCCGCCGGATCGCTAGTGTTGACACCTTTCAGGTAATGTTCCGTCACTTTCTGTACATTTACATTGT